ACATTTAAGAGATATAAATTTGTTGCAGTATATATCGTAAAGGAGCTTATTGAAGATGTGAGAAACGCATTTTTGGAAATGCTAAACGAAAACGATTGGATGGATGAAAATACGAAGAAACGGGCAAAGCAAAAGGTAGAGAAAAATTTGAGTAATTTGTCATCTTATGGCACGCCATTTTGTTTCACTAAGTATACGAGGAAACGATTTTGGAAGTATTGTTTGCATTTTACATTGTGATTACGGTAATCAAATACAGGTATCACTCACTCTCACAACATTGAATAAGGTAATTTCCTAAAAAGCAATATTTACAATATCTGACAAAATATCAATGAGTTTATAGTGGCTAGATTAACTTCAATAATTTCATGCTAATGCGATTCGTGAATTCATTGCTTACGACAACAGCATATTCAACGAGACGGCAACGAAGCAGAAATACGCCAAGGTACAATTGCTTTATTGATTTCCTTGAATCACTTCAGAATCAGGCAAATTTATGCTGAAATCGAAATTTATCTGATCTAAAATCATCAATCTAAAGCATTTTTCAAAAATTAAGTTTGGTTGTCTCGAAACGTACAAACCTAATAGGTTCAGAAAGCAACACATAAAAGGACAAAGTTGCCGACGAGAAAGCTAAACATCTTTCAGTTAGCTTTTCATTCTTCGAATTAGATGGATGTGAATTGAATATTAACAGCAAGTTAAGTGTTGGCTGAAACGTATCGTTTGGAAATCTTTTTTAAATGCAGTGTTGCTACAAAGATCCTGCGGGAATTCGCTGGATATAAGGCTATATAAGAGGTTAAAGAAGAAGAAGTGGAAAGGACATGAAGCGAGGCTCAGAACACTTGCAAGAGGAGATGCTGTTGCGGGTGGAGAAGTAGTAGAAAAGTCGAAAACAGAAACAGCGAGAAATTTATTCTTCGCACAAGACTCTATCCGAACATACATGCTAGTTTTTTAGAAGGGATATGAATATTTATTTAATTTAAATCGAAGGGAACAGCAAGAACGAAAGAATAATCTTATTTCTTTGCTGAGCTGAGTAGTCTTTATTGTATTTTCATTATATTAAATCTTCGCTTACGCAAGATCTGCTACCAGTTAGATACTTAGAGTCAAGCCCTGATCACCTTCACTAGTAAGCGAAGAAAGAGAGCTCAAGAGAGTTTGAGCAAGTCAAATTCCGGGGCGGGCCCCGGACATTGACTTTTCTACACACTAGAAGTTTGAAGATAGAGAACTGTAAGCCAATAGAGGGAAGAAATTTTCACTTTATTGTTAACGGAATAAGACTAAGATATCGTAGCATAGAAGAACTGTGGATTTTGGGGACGCTGAGAAGTTTTCCTTATAAAAATGAAATGTTGTAGTCTGGAAGGTAGAAAATGAGGTTGAAAGGGCCATAAAGTGTAAGGAGTCAGTGCTAAACTTGCCCTATAACTATTTCTTTCAAAGCAGTTGAAGTGTCTAAGAAATTTGAGAGCATGCATCGTCAGATGGGTATTATGACTTAAAATTAAACTTAATATTAAACTATAGAAGCTGTACATCAAATAACCTTGAGAAGTGAAATCAAGAGGATATAGAGGATTATCCGTTACGATGGAACCGTGAAAGTTGCGCAGTTGTTAGCTGGATTCTCCATACGATTCTGAGCAGAATATATAAGTTGGGGATTTCGTCCAGAAGGAGCTGAGATAACTCACCAGAGCCAAATGCCCCGTCGGCTCTGGTCGTTCTCTGCTGCCTCTCAAAATTGCACATCCTCTACGCAACCAAGCACCTTCCATGGGGCATTTGGCACTGTGCCCTTCCCTCCGCTCTTTGCAAATTAATGTAAGCAAATCGTATATTATTATAAAGGTCTTGAAATGTACATTTGATCAGAAAACTGCGCAACATTCAATTTTTTGGTCTGAGCGAATGAAGTAAGAAAAACTGTATTTTTTTGTTCCTCTCGACTTTTAGGTCCAATTGGAATTTTTAGATCCGTTTTTTAGTCATTCAATAGGAAATTTTATTCATAATACAGCTGACAACTGTGCAACTTTCATAATGTGCTAAACATCCAGCGAGCCATTTTAA